CCGGCTGTGAAGGATCAGCCAGGCCGCTCCTTGTTCGGGAGTGTCTGGGGAGCAGAGCCTGCGCCCTGACAGGTTCCTGTCAAAGTGCCTCGTTCTAAAGTCTCCCCCCCCCCTCGAGTCCTCCCCGATTCACCCAGCGGCACAGAGCAGGGAAGTGGGCACATCCTTCTCCTGGCACCGGCTGGCCAGACTGGCACAGGGCGGGGGCGGGCTGGGGAGCACCGCAGCCCCGAGCCGGCAGAGGCTCCATCAGCGACTGTTAATGCTGGCATCTGATTAATTTGCATGAGCCAGGGAGGCCTTGGGAGAGTGAAGCAGAACAAAGTGCATTTTGAATAGGGTTCCCCACTCCTCCTCAGAGGTGCCACATAGCCCCCGCCCCAGCGGAAGGGGGGCTGAACAGATGTGCCTCCAGGTTGGGTAGGGGGGGCCAGCTGGGGGCTGGGGTGTGGAGGAATGTGGGGTGCAGGGTGCAGGGAGCGCTGGTGAAAGAGCAGCCACAGTGCCCCCTTGGGAGTCACCCCCCAAACGTGGCCCAAACCCAGGACCAATGCAGGCACTTGTCCTGCTTCCAGAGGCTGGGCCCTGGGGACACTGTGTCCTGGAAGGACAGGATAGGCCCATGGAGCATCCCGGGGTGACCCCAGCACCCTGTCTCGACTGTGGGCTCAGGAGGGGCCCGGCTCACTGATAAACTGGGTCACTAGTGAAGAGTCTCTCTCCCTCTCTGCCTGGGGGGGAGCCCAGAGCGAAGGGGCAGGGTCCCTGGGGCGTGTCAGCCGCCAGCCGTCCAGCGCATCCTGACTTTCAAGCCGAGCGCTCTGGGAGTCCCACTGCCGTCCAAGGGCTGTCTCTGGGATGACCGCCTGTCTCCGTCCAGGGCCTATGTTTGGGCTGATGGCCACGACAGGCATCACCACCCACCCCTCCCACAGCTTGACCTTGAGGCAGCCTGAGCCAGGGAGGGGTGCAGGGTGCGGGGCCTCTTAGCAATTTGTAGACCAAGGCTCCCTCCTGTCTGCTCCGCGCCTGCAGACACCCATGGGCCTGGGTCTTTTCGTGCATTACTCCCCGGCTTCTGGAAATATCCTGCCTCCCACTTCCCAGTACCCCTCCCTTAGCCTCAGCACCCCGTCCAAGGCTCAGCGTCGCCCAGCAAGCCTGAACGCACCTTTGGCGGGAGCTTCCGGGATCCGTTTTGCAGCCTGTTGCAGAGCCCCCCCAGCCTATGGGGCATCGGGGGGTGGGGGTCAGGCCCCAAACTGCTTACAGTCTCCGTGTCGCTTCTCCCCTGCTGTCTCGGGGCCTCCCCAGACATCATCTACCCCCTCAGTACCTTCGTGGTAAGAGCTGGGGTGTGGGTGCAGGATGACGGGCAGGCGTCACGGGGTACCCTGGGCAGCCTGCCCCCCTCTGGCAGGTGAGCATGGCGGCAAATCCATAGGCAGTTGGGGTGTGGAGCACCCGGCACCCCCACTAACCTTTTATTTGAGGGCCACATCTGGTGTTTCTCAGGGCTTATTCCTGGCTCTGCACCTAGGGATCACTTCTGGTGGGGCTCAGGGGAACCATATGGGCCCCCAAAACAAAAATAAATAAGAATTTAAAAAATAATTCTCAGAATGGCCCCAGCCCACCCAGGGCTCAAACCCCTTCCTTGTGGGGTCCAGCAGAGGCGGCTAGCGGGATGGTCAGTCTCCGTTGGATGAGGCTGGGCCCCCCACCCCACCCCTTCATCATGGTGAATGCCGGGAAGTCAGAGGAATTCTTGCAAGGCAGAAGAGAGAAACGTTGGTTTTGGTCGAGTTTAAGGGCGCCAGGAGGAGCCGTCCTCAGCCGCTCCCCATTTTCCTCCACTCCTGACCCAGGCCAAGCTCCCTAGAAGGGAAATTTCATAAAAGCAACAGTTCAAAGGAGGCCAAAGCATTTCTCCTTTGATGCACAAATAGTAATTCCCAACGTGCTCAACCAAGAAAAAAGAAGAGGCTTTGCGGCGCTGAGATCCTTACCTGAGGCAGGAGCCATGCTTAGTGCCAGGGGATGAAAACGCAGAGCGTTTGTGCCCAGCCTCTCTCTGAGATTTTTCCTTTGTACTTAGCCTGGCAGCCCAACCAGGGTCCCGGGCAACTGGGCAGGGCTGGCCTGAGCCTCGAGGGACAGACGCATGTCCCTCTGCCAGCTCACACTCTCTGCTGTCACACACACCGAACCCGGGGCCCACAGGGGAGGCAGCCCCAGTTTGCCTTCCTGACTCGCTGTTTCGGGAGAGCGTGGGCCAGTGAGTGGCGGGAGGGGGTCCCCTAGCCCCTCTCTACCAGAGCAGGATGTTGGATAGATGTTTGGGATAGTCCAGCCTGCAGTAGGCACAAAGCAGCCTAGGACAGGGGGCACATTAGCAAAGCAGGTAGGGCATATGCCTTGCACGTGGCCGACCCAGGTTCGATTCCCAGCATCCCATGTGGTCCCCTGAGCACCACCAGGGGTAATTCCTGAGTGCAGAGCCAGGAGTGACCCCAGAGCATTGCTGGGTGTGACCCCAAAAAAGCAAAAAAAAAAAACCTAGAGGAACCCACCCCCAGCCACCTGGGAATGGGGGAGACGGAGTGGAGGGGTGGAAGGTTGAAATGAGAACGGGGCTGGTGCCAGGCCAGAGACAGGTTTGGATGCCCCAACGCCTGGCCAGCAGCACCCCAGAGACAGGAACGCCCTGGAATCCCCCAGACCCCCCGGGGTTCTTGGATCCAGCCAGGGAGGGGAGACTGGCGAAGTTTCTCCGACTTTCCCTGAGACGGCCTTGGAGCCTTCACCGGAACCCCAGAACTGCCTCCTGGTCTCTGTCTCGTCTGTCCCCACCCCCGTCGTAAGGAGCCCGCTCAGGATGTCCTTGAGCCTCCAAACCGGCAGTGGCATTTGGGGGCTGGGGAGTGGCTCCATCAGCTCATTTGTGACGTCATCCGGGCCAGACAGGAGGGCCCAGAGGACAGCCGGGCTCCTGGCTTGCTGCAGGCCCTCGAAGGGGGCGGGGAGAGCCCAGGGCCAGGCTGAACTGGCCAGCAGCTGGCTGAGGTGAACTCAGTGGGACCCCAGGCTGCCTTTCTCCCCACCTGTGTCGACCCGGAGCACAAGCATGTGGTCCCCAGCGTGTCTGACTCTGACTCATGTGCCAAGGACACCTGTTCCTAATTAGCCCAGCCTGTGCCCTGTGCCAGCCTGGCCCCCTCCGAGGCGGGCAGCAGCAGGCATGTGGGTGGTGGCAGTGCTGGGTGGACGAAGCCCCTTTGGCCAAGATCCCCCCTTCTCTGGGGCTGGTTCTGGGTACCTCCCCCACTGCACACCCCCCTAACTGCCATCTCAAGGGCACTCAGGGCGGGGGTCAACTTGCCTGGCACACGATTGATATAAGCTTGATCCCTGGCACCACATAAAAGTCCCCAAAGCCCACCAGGAGTGATTCCTGGGCACCGCCGCGTGTGGTAATTCCAGAATATAATAAATAGATGCAGTCTTTTTTTTTTCCTTTTTCTTTTTGGGTCATACCCGGCAATGCTCAGGGGTCACTCCTGGCTCTGCACTCAGGAATTACTCCTGGCAGTGTTCGGGGGACCTTATGGGATGCTGGGAATTGAACCCAGGTCAGCTGCGTGCAAGGCAAATGCCCTACCCACTGTGCTATCGCTCCAGCCCCATAAATGCAGTTTTGAGTGCTGACCGTCTGCCCAGAATGAGCCCCAGATGTTGGGGAGGGGGTGGTCCTCGGCAGGGTCGGAGGTGAGCACTCCCAACCCTGGAGTCCAGTTCCCGCTGGACCCCCGTGGCTGGTGGCTTGCGTGGCCCAGGCGATATGGCACATCACTCTCTTCCTTCAACGAGAAATTCGTCAGTGGAAAGATTTTCCCTGGGAGGTAATTTTCCCCCATCACTGGCCTGCCTGCAGAAGGCTGGGGCTGGGGGTTCTGTGTCCCAGTCCCCTCTCCCTCGGCCCAGGAGGGGGATCCCCGCCAGGGCTCCGTGGCCTGGCTCCTTCCAAAAGCCTCCGTGCCCGCCCGCCCCGGCGCTGACTGGTGGATCAGGCTGGCTAATTAGTGCCTTTTCCTTAAGCGGCACTTGAGCGGCCTGTCACTCACTCTCGCGGTGATAATGGACTCGGATAAGAGGTCACAGCTTCTCCACACCCCGCCTGAAAGAGCGGGGGCGGGCTGAGCAGCTGCGAGGCGTCGGGGCCCAGCCCCCCTCCCCTCGGCTGCGCCCCTGCCTCGGCTCGCGTAAATGTTAATAAGTCACGCCTCTGCGGCTTCCGAGTGGCAGATTGGAAACGGCGCCACCCGCCCCTCCGCCCAGCCGTGCTCGGCTCCCGGCTCCCTCTCCCTCGCCAGCTTCCAATTCCCTTCCTCCCTGCCCCCTGCTGCACCCCATCCACCCCATCTCCGTGCTGCAGGGAGCGTGCGCTTCCCCACCAACCCATTTCCCAAGCCGGGGCTTGACATTTTTTTTATTTTTAAAGAAATTAAACATTAGCTCCTGTGTTCTCCAGAGAGGAAACATGCCCAGGGGGGTGGCCCGGGCCCCTTCCCTGACCTCTCCGTGCCCAGTGGTCTGGATGTGAGCCCCTCCCCCCCCACAGCCACCATGGTCTGGATGTGAGCCCCTCCCCCCCACAGCCACCGGTGCACCTCTGAGACTCCCCTCCGCTTTGAGTTTCCAATGCACCCGCACCCCCTTCCCTGGGTTCTCTCCCCACTGTCTACCCAAGTTTCTTTAGTGTGTCTCTGGGACCCTCACCCTCTTGCCATCTTGGGGGCGGGGGACCCTCACCCCCATCTGTTTGCACAAGGCAATGCCCTGAGGGGAGGGGGGGCTGGGGTGCCTCCAGCAAGTGGCCTCAGGGCAGAGGTGAGCCCTGACTACTGCTCTCACCCCCAGGCTGTCTTTGTGGGGGCCCCCTCCATCCTCAGTTCTCACTGCCAGGCTGTCTTAGGCCCTAACTCCTGCTCTCCCCCCAGGCGGTCTTTGTGCTCCTGTTGGGCCCCTTCACCTTCTTTGACGTCCAGAAGACCAAGTACCTGCAGATCCTGACCTCGCTGATGCGCTGGCTTGGTGAGTCCCACCCTTCCCCATGGGGGGCTGGGGGGATCCAGGCGGGCAGGGCTCTGCCAGGTCTGCTGGTATGGACAGAGCTGGATCCGACCTGGACCAGGGTCAACCTCATAGCTGGGGGTGCACAGATCCCCCCAAAGGACACCCCTGGGTAGGTAGTCCCCTGGGAGTCGGGGGTCTACGCCCTCAGTAATACCGGCCTCATGGGCCTGGCACCCCCCACTAGCTGGGCTGTCCTGGGGGATCTTGGCCGACCCCTGGGTCTGGTGTGAGACCCAAGAACGCTTAGCTCCTGTGGGAGAGAGGTCCGCCTGCCCCCCTGCACAGGTTCCAGAGGACCCGATGTTCCTGCTTTCTGTCCTGCTTCCCCAGCCTCTGACTCCTGCACTAACCCTGCCAGGACTTGGGAACTCCTCCTTCCCACCAACCCTCGGCACTAAGCCAGCCATCCTGGCCCCTCCATGTGGGAGGTTCGGAGCGAGACCATCCAGCAAAAGAGCTGGGGCTTCTAGGCGGATGGAAAAGGGAGTGTCCGCCAGCGCCCCCTGCAGGCTGGTCTCTGCTGCAGGCACACTTGGGCAGGCCCCCGGCCACTGGGCTTGGGGTGCCAGCACCCGGGTCACCTCCCCACGCTGGTTCCTCCTTAGAAGGGCCTGAGAGCAGGACAGAATCGGCCAGGTGCTGAGCTCTGGGCCCTGGACTGTCCTACTGCAGCCAGCCAAGAGGGGGCAGAGGGGACAGTTGCTGCGCAGTGTCCACTTTAGGTGCTCTGACCATCCTCGTCCCAGGCTGCAGCGCCCCCATCCCATCCCATCCCCTCCAAGTGCCCACCCTGCCCAGGAGAGAGCTGGAAGGAGAGGCGGTGGCTGCGTGTCCAGCAGTGTTTGTGTTTCTGTTTGTTTGTTTGGTTTGTTGGCCACACCCAGCAGTGCTCGGGGCTGACTCCTGACCGTGTACTCACTCCTGACTGTGCTTGGGGCACCCTAGGGGATGCCGGGAATCGGACCCGGGTCAGCTGTGTGCAAGGCAGCTGCCCTTCCTGCCGCCCTATTGTGCTGACCCCAGTGAAGCAGTTTCTGGGGGGAAAACGCTCCCCTGCTCCCAGCCCCCTGGCCCCCGGCCCAGACCTTGACCCTTGCGTCAGCAGTGACCTTTGGAGAAGGAGCTGGGAGGGGCCCAGGGCGGGCTCCAGGCTGCGTCAAAGATCTGGTGCCAGCCTCCAGGGCGGGCTGCCTGGATAATGACAGTTAATGGCTTCCGGACACCCATGCCTTTGAGTGGCGAGTTCCTCTGATGAGCAACGCAGTCATTAAAGGGAGAGGATGCGGGTGGGAGGCCTGGGTTTAATCCCAGCGCCGCCAGGTGAGGCCCCCAAAACAGCAAATAGAGAAGGTGCTGGCCTTAGCACCCCAGTTCTGTCTCCAGCACTGCATGATCCCCAGACCCACCAGAGGTGAAACCTGAGCACAGAGCAAGGAACAGCTCCTGAGCACCCCAGGTGTGGCCCAAACTCAAGAGAGAGAATGGGGGGGGAGGAGATGGTTTACTCCTGACGGTGCTGGGGGGCTGTACGGGGTGCTGGGAATTGAACCCAGGTTGGCCCTGTGCAAGGCAAATGCCTTACCCACTATACTGTCACCTGTCACTCGGCCCCTCAGTTAGAATCTTCACGATGAGCGAGGGATGCCCCCCACCCCTTCTGGGCTCCTTTCCCAAGAGCCCTACCCTGGGTGACCCCTCTTTCAAGGTGACCCAGGCAACAGGGCCACTCCACATGTCTCGGGCGGGGACACTGTGGCCTCCATGTTGTGGCCCCTGCCAGTCACCTGCCTCCATACTCCCCACATGTACTGTGGAGTGGCAGCCACATTTCTGGTGAGCCTGTGCTCCAGAAAGTTCCACGAGAAGGCCAGAGCGATAGTACAGTGGAGAGGGCGCTTGCCCTGCACACAGCCAACCTGGGTTCAATCCCCGGCTCCCCGTGTGGTTCTCTGAACCCCACCAGGATCGATCCCTGAGCACAAAGCCAGGAGTAAGACCTGAGCACTGTTGGGTGTGGCCCAAAAGAGGGAAAAAAGAAAGAAAGGGAAGAGAAGAGAGGACCAAAAAACCACAACCCACCCCCTTCAGTGCTGGTCAGGACCTGCGTCGCCGTTGGCAAGGATCCCCCTCTCATGCACCCCCTTCGCCCACTCCTCCCTGGACCTCTGGCACACCTGGGAGAGGCACACCCAAGGAGGATGGCCAGCCCCCCAGAGGGAGCCTGGGCTGGGCCCCCACAGCTGATCTGAGGATGGGGTCCCCTAGGCTGTCTGGCAGGGAGTTCCCACCCCCACCCCCCGTGCCTGCATGCCCCTCCCCCACGGTGTTATTAAGAACCCCCCCTTCTTTCTAATAAAGGCCTCCCTGGCAGCAGGGACCCACAGGGCTCCTTCCCCTGCTTGTGCATTCAGAGCGCGCCCCGCGCACGCCTGTCTCCCGCGCTCCCCACAAAGTGGGTCAGCCGGCGGGCGCCGTGGATAGACCCAAGGCTGCTTGCCAAGCACCCCCCCGCCCGCTGACGCCCCAGATTTCCCTCCTAGGCCTGCCCGCAGGGATGGGGGGACATGGGGGTAGCGAGTCCTCAGGGGGTGATTACCCCCAGGAGCTCCCGCCAGGCCAGTCACCAGAAGTTTCTGGGGTCCTGGGCTGGCTGCCCCCAGCCTCTGGTGGTAGGACAGCTCTGTCCTGACCCCACTGGGGTCCTGCCATCTGCCCCTGGATCTCATGGGCTCAGCAGCCTGCTGAGGACCCCTGATCCCCCACCACTGCTCCCTGCCATTCCCTCACTGCACCAGAGCTGGGGGGGCGGGGCAAGAAGGACCCCCCCACTCCCCAGACAGAGGCAGCGTGACCCCCCAGCACACAGCAGCCTTGGTCCTGGGTCCCAGCCCATTTCCTTAGTGACGCTGGCAGTGGGGGCATGCAGGGGAACTCCAGTACCTCACCCAGCAGTGCTCAGGAGACCCTCCCTGATGCCGGGAATTCAGAGTTAGGGTCAGCTGTGTGCAAGGCAAGGTGGCCCCATTCATTCCGGTTGTTTGGCAAGGGTGTGGGCGTGAGCACGGCAGGCTTCAGGCATGCATGTGCTGAGCTGCAGGGGTGAGTGCATGTGAGCATGGGTGCAGGGGTACATCAGCTGGGTTGCAGGGTGAGCATATGCTGGGTCCCAGCAATGTGGGCAAGGCTGCAGGGATGAGTGTATCCTGCGTCCCAGGGGTATGGGCTGGGCGACAGGGGTGAGTACATGCTGGGCAGCAGGGATATGCGCTGGGCTGCAGGGGTGCCTGGCTGGGCTGCAGGGGTACATGAGTGAGGCTGCAGGGGTGCCTGGCTAGGCCGCAGGGGTGTGTGGGCTGGGCTGCACTTAGTGCAAAGGGCTCGTGACCCTACCCCTTTCCTGTGGTCAGTACGTGGCCCTCAGTTCCTCTGACACGACTTGAAGAAGCACAAGATTGAAAGGACTTTCCTTCCCCTCACGCACTCGTTCCTTTTCCCCCGGAGCAGTTTTCCTCCTGTGCCACTTCACAGATGCGTGACTGGCCGGTCCCCTCCACAAGAAGGGAGAGCCCTGAGGACAGACAGGCTGTGGCCAAGGGGGCAGGCTGGGCCTCTGCTGACGTCCAGGCTGTGTGCCTGCATCTCGGTCGCCAATGTTTGCTCCGAGACAGGGGCAGAGACAGGCACGTACCTCCTGACCCCCGTGAGCTGGACGTGCTTCAGGCAGGGGCTGTGAGGCGCGGAGGGTCAGGGTGCCCCTGGGGTCATGCCCCTTTGCCCTGCCCGTCTGTCTCCACGGGGAGAGGCCGTCTGGGAGTGGCTGTCAGGCCTGTGCAAAGGGCATGGCTCTCAGGCTGTCACGGGGTGCCTGCCGGGAGCCCCAGGATGCTGCTGCCTGTCCCCCGGGCCCCAAATCCTGTTCTGCCTTCACTGAGCTCTGCTCCTGTATAGGGGAGGGAGCTGGTGGTGGCCCCCAGTGGATGGACGTCGCCCCCATGGCACTTTCACTCTGCTGGTGCGGGTCTTCACAGTGCGGGGCTGAAACCCGGGGCCACACCTACAGGGGGCCAGGCCAGGGCTCTTTTTGCTCCCTACCCCCGGCACCCAGAACAGCTACCTCAGGCTGTATTGTCCCTATGTGACACTGGCACACCCCTGGCTCCGCTGAGGAGTGAGTGAGGGATTGTCCCGGCCAGTCCCCTGGGTCACACAGGTGCCGTTGTTTCACACGGGCTGCATCTGTTAGTTCGGGTGTCAGTTTTCCTGGCTCCATCACACCGTCCCCTCCCTGATATCTCCTTGGGCCCCTGGGGCCTGGCAGTGCCCTCTGTGTGAGGGCGCTGCGGGGGAGGGTGGGCTTATGACCAGTAGAGGGCGGGTGCAGGCATGTGCACACATACACACACACAGTTACATATGCACACACGCACACACTCACCCTCTCACACACACTCTTACACTCACATGCATGCGCACACATGCACTCTTAGACACATGCACATGTGAAAACTCAACATGCACACACATGTATACACCCTCACACACACTCTCTTACACTCACAGTCACATGCATGCATTCAACACGTGCTCACACACACACACTCACATGCATATGGGCACACAGGAGCACACATGCACACACACACACGCACACATGCACACTCGCTGCAGTCGTAGGTGCTCCCTGCAGGCCTTGGGGGCACTCAGCTTCTGGCAGGGGCTGCACCCACACCTGCTGCACGGCCCTCCTGGGTTTGGGGAGCAGTGCTCTCCCAGGACAGGGTGATCTGCCAGAGAGACAGTGCCAGACACTCCTGCAGCTGTCAGGGACGGCTGGGGGGGCCCAGGTTAGGTGCCCCTGTCCCCCATCTCCCAGGACCCTTGGAGGTCTGAGCTGCCTGCTCACGTCAAAGCCCGTGGGGAGGCCCATCAGCACTGGGGGGGCTTCTCCAGAGACCGGAGCATCAGGCCCATGTGGCTGGGTATCACCAACAACCTCACCCCTGGCTTTGCTCATTCTCAGGAACCCCTCACCCACACTTCCAAGCCCAGACTGAGCCCCCTTGGCATATAGGTGGGGGTTTCCTCCTCTGAGACCCCAGCATGGTGTACGCTCTGGACCCCCCTGCTTGTAGAAGTTGGGGATCCCCTAGCACAGCCCATCAGGGGGACCTACAGTGCCACAAAGCTACATTTTGTGTCGGGGCCCTTGGGGGACACTCCAACCTCCATCTGCACTTGGGGCAGAGGGGGTGCTTTTCTGCTTCCCCCCCCCCCCCTCGCAGCCTCTGGCTTCAGTGCCTGGACAGTGGCCAACCCCGGCCCTGGGGACGATGTGGGGGGATTGGCTGGTTGGAGTAAGGACAAAAGGAAGCGCGAGGAGGGACAGACAGGTCAAACTCATTATCGCAGACAGGCAGAGATAAGGCCTGTCCCGTGACTGCCAGAGACTTTGCGGGCACAGAGTGAATGCACCGCGTCCTCAGACAGACGCCAGACACGCGCCCGACTGGGGGGCACTTGTCCGGGCACCGCTCGCTCGCTCACTCAGCTGGGGTGCACCCAGCTTATGTAAGGAGCCAACCCCACATCTATAAACCTGCTTCCTCCTCGGGTGTCGGAGCTACAGTGCTCTGGACAGTGTTGGCGCTTCCCTCAAGAGGCGGGGGTCGGACAGGGGACCAGGGGCAGGGAGGGGCAGGTGCAGGGTCTGGTGCCCATCACCAGGGGGCGCCCCGGTCTCGGACCTGCCGCTCCTCCGGGCCGGCTGACCCTGCGCCTTCAGCGTCCCCCAGGTCCCCTTGCCTGCTGTGGTCACACCTCACTGCCCAGCAACGCTTCTGACCCCTTTCTGAATACGGTCCTGCCCTTGCTGGGCAATGCAGGAAGGTTGAGCTTGTGGGAGGGAGGGGGGGGGCGTCCCACCCTTGGTCCATTGCTGTGCAGAGGTCAACCCTCCCCCATGGCTAGCCCTGTCCCCCTGCAGTGACTGACCCCCGCCCCGTCCCTGGTTGACTCTCCCCCCCCCTGGTTGGCCCTGAGCCCCCTCTCCACCCCGGGGTGATTCCCATCCTTTGTGGCTGACCCCCACCCCGCCCCCCAGGCTAGCCCCTCCCCCAATGACTGGCCCCGCCTCTGGAGACTGACACCCCCCACTTTCTCTGTCCCTGGCCTTTGTCCCAGGGCTGACCCTAACCCCTGTGGCCCGTGTAGCTGACCCAGCCCAGCTGAGTCCACCCCCGTCCTTTGTGGCTGACTCGCCCCCCCCCCCACCGCCTGGCCCTTCCCCTGTGTCCGGCCCTCCCTCCCCTCCCCCCATGCCCCGTGTGTCCGACCCCCCCACACTCTCCCCCGTGCCCCTTGTGTCCGACCCCCCCCCCCCCGCCATCCCCCATGCCCCCTGTGGCTGACCCCCGCTGACACCCCTCTCCCCGCAGCATTCGCCGTCATGATCGTGCTGGCGCTGGTGCGCATCGGGCGCGGGCAGGGCGAGGGGCACCCGGCGCTGGCCTCGCTGGCCGGCGTGCGGAACCTGTTCGGCGTGTGCGTGTACTCCTTCATGTGCCAGCACTCGCTGCCCTCGCTGCTCACGCCCGTGTCGCACAAGCGCCACCTCACGCGGCTGGTGGGGCTGGACTACGTGCTCATCCTGGCCTTCTACGGGCTGCTGTCCTTCACGGCCATCTTCTGCTTCCGCGGCGACCGCCTGCTGGACATGTACACGCTCAACTTCGCGCGCGGCGGCGTGGTGGGCGCGGCGCCCGTGCGCCTCTTCCTCGGCCTCTTCCCCGTCTTCACCATCAGCACCAACTTCCCCATCATCGCCGTGACGCTGCGCAACAACTGGAAGACGCTGTTCCACCGCGAGGGCGGCACCTACCCCTGGGTGGTGGACCGCGTGGTCTTCCCGGCCATCACACTGCTGCCGCCCGTGCTCGTGGCCTTCTGCACGCACGACCTGGAGGCGCTGGTGGGCATCACGGGCGCCTACGCGGGCACGGGCATCCAGTACGTGATCCCCGCCTGCCTGGTGCTGCTGTGCCGCCGCGACGCCGTGCGGACCTTCGGGCGCGGCGCCCCCAACCCGCACCGCTCGCCCTTCAGCCACAACTGCTGGGTGGGCTTTGTGCTGCTCTGGGCGCTCTCCTGCTTCCTCTTCGTCACCGCCAACATCATCCTCAGCGAGACCAAAGGCTGAGGCGGCGCCTGGTGCTGCGCGCTTCACTGGGACCCGCCCCCACCTCTTGAGAGGGGGCATCCTTCTGATCCTCTCTGCCCTTTGGCACCCGGTGGCCCTCCAGGCCAGCTGAGCTACAGAGTCCAGGCTGTGCGGGGCCCTGCCTGCCGGAATCCAGGACCCAGAACCTTCGTTGTCCCTCCCGCTACCCCTGCACGGGGGGGGGGGGGGGGGGGGGGGGGGGGGGGGGGGGGGGGGGGCTCCTCCCCCACGTGGGTGACGCAGCTCTGGCACTGCCACTATTTATATGGGACTTGTCGCTGCTCTCCCCTTGGGGCGAACCTGAGACGCCCCCCCCCCCCTTCCTGCCAGGCCAGGAGTCCAGGAAAGGACTGGCACACCCCAGGGGAGCAGGAACCCTCTTCCAGCCAGGCCCTCTCGGGAGCAGGCCTTCCAGGGGGACCGGATACGATGGTGGACTTGAAGCCCAGCGAGGGGGTCGCCCCACAGGGGCCCCTGTCCTGGTTCTGCTCCATGCGGCTGGGTGGCCTGTGTCCCCGTCCCTCAACTGTCCTGGTGTGCCGTGGGCACCAGTCAGAGTGCCCGCGGAAAGAGAACCAGGTGCCCCCCCTCCCCGCCATGCGTGCGCTCCTGTGCCCACGGCCTGGGAGACAGGTGGATGCGCTGTCCACGTGCCTTCTACAGGACCTGGTTCCTCCTCGGCTACCTGGCTTGCCCCCAGTCGGGGGCTTGGTCCCACCTGTCAGGGACCCGCGTGCAGCTTGGCCAGAAGCTGCCTCTGGGGCGGGGTGTCAGGCCCCTGCCCCACACCCTTCATTTCAGTGCCTTGCTCGGCCCCTTGCCTCTGCCTGTGTCTCTCCAGCCTCCAACCTCGGACAGAGGGGACCCGGGGATGGCGGGTGGGCGCATGGAGTCCCCTCACCAGCCCATGGACACCCCTGTCACCCGCACCAAACTTTACCCTGGCCACATGCATCTCGGTCTTCCACTGCTTGCCCCTAGCCTCAGCTGACCCTTGCCCTGGAGCTCCAAGCCGGGAACCACCCGGAGAAGCCTGGGTCCCCTCCGGAGCCCCAGGGCCTGGCTGGCTGCTGCAAACTATTAAACATCTGTACTTACCCGGGCTCCACTTCCCTTCCCTCTCGCTTAAGGACAAAGCAAATTAAGTCTGCCTGCCAAGCCCCAGGCTCCAAACCAAATTTCGGGAGTGAATTTATTAGCATCATAAAGCCCCAGTTGATTTATGTGACAATCTGGAGCGGTAGCGACAGTCCCCCGCCTCCCGCAGGGGCAGCCCCGACAGGCCTGAGGTGCCCACGTCACCAGGGGCACAGGCGGGCGCCCCGTCTGCCAGTATCTGCGTTCCTTTGCTTTCAGGTGGTTGCCGTCTGCCCTGCCAGGGGTCACATGGGGCCATGGGCAGGGGAGCCAGGGGCTGGGGGACCCCCTAGGAGGCAGCTGGTACCAGCAGCTGGACACCAGCAACGGGGGGCCTCAGTTTCCTTCCCCGGTAGGGCACATGCCATTAGGAGGGGACATTGCGGGGAGGACGGGGGGGGCAATGTGGGGAGCTCCATGGCTTCCTGAACCCAGGGCCAGCCCGGGTCAAGGAGGGCATCAGACTCACTGCCGAGTCCCCGCCCGAACCCTGGGCCGCGGTGCCAGAGCTCCCGGTGGTTCCACGGCTGGGCCCCGGGATGGGGCAGATGGCGGGTGATGGGCTGGGAGCGGCTGCCACGGTGGGGGTGGGCCAGGCTGCGGGCACGGGGCCAGGCACTCAGCCGCACAGCTGCTCGCGCCACATGGGGCCCGCCTGCCGCAACAGCAACAGGCAGACCCCAGAGGGGGCGGCCAGTAGGCAGCTGCCCCCCCATCCCAACCCCCACCAATGTCCTCCGGAGAAGCGCCCAGAACGGAGACCAAGTTCCCTGGTGCCCGGGTTGCTGAAGACCTGTTTCCTCCAGGCAAGTTCTGGGGCCTCCAGTGTCCCTGATAAGAGGAAGCAATGTCTGCCGAGAGTGGGGTGCATGGGGCCCTTGGTGCGGGTGAGGAGGGCAGGCCCGCAGCGCCCCTTGGGACTGGCCCTTCCTGCTGTCTTGACACAGGGTTAACAGCGTCCCCAAGCCGGCTCCTGTGTCCCATGCCCCCCATATGCCCCTCTGTCCTGCCATTGGCTCCAGCAGCCTGCCAGCATATGTGGGGTGCACCCCTCACCAGGGACATCCCCAGCCACTCTGCTTCCGTCATCTCTGATGAGCTCATGTTGGGGGATGGACATCCAGAATTCTTCAGGGTTGGGGGGCTGGGGGGAACCTGAGCTCTGGACCCCCAACTCCCCGAGGAATGTAAGTAAGCAAATGGAGGTGCCGGAGGCCTCACTCTGCACCCCTTCTGACACCCCCAGCTCCAGAGAAGGAGGTGCAGGGGGCCCAGAGTCCTGTCCTGCCCCCAAGAGGGAGCCACAGCTGTGGGGACTGGCCAGCGGGGCTCCCTTGCTCCGCCGGGATCAGTGGCCATCCTTGTCCCATCCAGAATCTGCCTGTGGGGGGGAGTGGTGGAGGTCAGGGTCCTCCAGGGGGCTGGGGGCAGGAGCAGCTGGCACCTGCCGGAGGGCCCTGCTCCCCGCTTCCCACAGACCCCCTCACGTCTCCCCAGAATACACTCCTGGAGAAGGAGCACAAGCGGCCCCTCCTCGGAGCCCGAACAGCAGGCACGGCGCCACGCTTGGCCTTTAATTACCTTTCCAGTGCTTGGTTATTAATGACGCCGGGCGGAGAGCAGCCTGGCCCGCGACCCGCCTCACCTGCTGCAGCTTCCTGTGGCCTTGCTCGCCGAACTGACACTGGCTCATGGCCCAGCACCCCAGCACCCTTGGCCCTCCCCTGCACGCAGCCCTCCACCCCAAACCTCCCAGCCCTGCCCCTGCACTCAGCCCTCCACCCCAACCCACCCAGCCCTTCCTCTGCATGCAGCTCTCACCCTCCAGCCCCCACCCCTGCACTCAGCCCTGGCCCTGCATGCAGCCCTCTGTCCCAACCCATCCAGCCCTGCCCCTGCATGCAGCCCTCCACCCCAACCTGCACTCAGCTCTGCCCCTGCAAACTTCCACCCAGGATCAGGTGCAGCCCTGCCTCTGCCCCTGGCAGGGTCATGCTCCCTTCACGGTCTCTGGTGCACCCCTACACAGACACTCCACCCCCTCCATTCTGGCCCTTGGGTGTATTAAAAAACCCAATGCTGGGGCCGGAGTGATAGTACAGTGGGCAGGGCGTTCACCTGGCACACTGCTGACCCTGGTTCCATCCTTGACACCCCCTAGGGTCCCTGTGCACAGAGCCAGGAGTCAGCCTTGAGCATAGAGCCAGGAGTGATCCCCGAGCACAGAGCCAAGAGTCAGCCCTGAGCACAGAGCAAGGAGTCAGCCATGAGCACCACTGGGTGGTGCCCCCAGACAAGCAACACAGTGCAGGAAAGATGGAATGAATGATGGGATCACTTGTCGCAGGAGTCCCCGGCTCTCTCCCCCCCGCCCTTAGAGGAAGCACGAATGCTTGGTTCTGTGGGTGGCCCAGAAGCGATCACAGAGGATTGGAAAGGGGCTTGGCTGGGACTGGGAGGTACACCCTCATTCCTTACTCCACCTGCGTCACTCCAAGGCCCTGGGGCCCCATTTCTTGTTCGGTGTGTGTGAGGGCACAGAACCCATTATCTGTGGGTCAGGGGTGGGAGAGTATGAACTACACCCCCAGACTTGGCACCACAGGCATGAAAACACTGAAAATCATAAGCAGAGCTGAGCACAAGCTTTACACGCGGGAACCCCGAGTTAAGCCCTGGGGCCATATGGACCCCTGAGTACCCCCAAAGAAGCTCCCAAGTTCTGAAAGGGCAGTAACCCTGAGACTGCCAGTGTGCCCAAAAACGAACAAAAAAGTCCATAAGCAGGAGGTATTTTGTAAGATGGTCCTTGGGACCAAAGGGATAGGACCAAGGGGAGGGCGCTTTTCTTTCATGTGGCCAGCCCAGGTTCGATCCCCAGCACCCCATAGGTCCCCCCTGGGCACTGCCAGGAGTGGTTCCTGAATGCAAAACCAGAAGTAAGCCCTGAGCATCGCTGGTGTGTTCCCACCCACCCACTCCATGGTTCATGGACTAGGCTGTGACATAGGACAAAAAAGGGGGTAGCTGGGAGCCCCCAAAGAAATAACTCAAGGGGGGTGGAGCGATAGCACAGCAGGTAGGGCGTTTGCCTTGCACACGACCAACCTGGGTTCAATTCCCAGCATCCCATATGGTCCCCTGAGCACCGCCAGGGGTAATTTCTGAGTGCAGAGACAGGAGTAACCCCTGAGCATCGCCAGGTGTGATCCCCCCAAAAGAAAGAAAGAAAGAAAGAAAGAAAGAAAGAACGAACTCAGACACTAGAACCTTTGACCACCCAGCCCCGGCTCCAGCAAGGCAGGATCTGCCTGACCCCTTGAAGCTCGGTAGCCAGCAAGAGATTGTAAGCAGTAAACTTAGCAAGTCATTGTAAGCAGTAAACTGAGAGCCCCCCACCCACTGCCCCCTTTGTCGCCAACCCTCCCAAAGTCAGGCTCCGGGGTGCACCCCGCCCCCCGGCTCTCCAAGGAGAGTGAAGGGTGAGCCCTGTCATCACTGCTGGGCACCCACTCGTGCCGAGCCATTTGTCACATCCGGCCCCAGTGGGCAGGAGCTGGCATGGAATACCAAGTGGCGGGTGCCGCCTGGCCGCTCAGCTCAGCTCCCTCTCCTGAAGCTCCCTCCAGGCAGCTCCCCCGAGCAGGCTCCCGCCTGCAGTGCTCCCCGGGCACCCCTCCAGGGTGCAGATTGAGACAGAGGACACGAGGGTTGCAAACGTCTCTTTAATGTCTCCGCGCTCAAGAGAAAGGGGGCGGAGCCCCCAGCCCCAAGGACACGCCCAGGAGCCCTTTGCAGGGCTGAGCCCCCTCCCCGGGCTTTGCCTGCCAAGGGGACAGCAGGGACCCAGCCCCCACGGAAGCAGTGGCGAGGGTGGTGAGGGTGTCACGCTGAGGCTCCCAGTGTCCTCGTGGATGATGTCATCAGCTGCTGGCGATCCCAGTGGGCAGGGTCTGACGGCAGAAGCCAGAAAGGCCCCTGGCCCACCTGCGCCCTCACGGAGGCAGTGCCAGGCAGAGGATCGGGCTGCCACGCTCACACCTCCGACTCCAAGCTGGAGACCCGCCTCCAGGTGCAAAGTCCGGGATAGCTGTGCACCCCACAAGCCGGCTTGCACGCCTGCTCCAAGCCCCCACTGTCCCGGTAGCCCGTGCCCAGTCCCAGGGTCCTACCTCTGTGCCCCGGTGGCCCCCAGGCCCCAGAGAGCCAGGGGCTATGGCTGGCACAGGGCGGGAGGGAAGAGCAGACCGGCCCCCAGCAGAGCGGCAGGGGGGCGTGCGCGTGGGGGCACACGTGCTGTCTGTGCGGCCAGGTGGGCACCGCTGCCCACCATCCTTCCTGGCAGGCCTCGTGGTAGGACGGGAGTCGCATGGACTGCGCGGGCACCCAGTGGCCGCACCCCAGGCGGGCGCAGCAGGCCGGAAGCGAGCCGGGGCGGGCGGCGAACGCCTCGGCCACCGAGCTGGGCAGGGAGGCGTGGCGGGCGCGCAGACCCCGGGCCCAGGCCGCGCGCAGCAGCGCCTCCCGCCGCGCCAGCTGCTCCGGCCCGAGCAGCGGCAGGTCCTCGGACTCGGGGGGCTCTGGGAAGAGCGGGAGGAAGGGGCGTCCCGACCGGTCGGCTCGGGGGAAGGAGCTGTAGTGGCGGCACTCGGGAGACAGGGGGCGCTCGGGGAGCGCGCGCCGCTCGCAGGCCCAGACGTGGCGCCCGCCGCGCCCCGCCCGGCCCGGGCCCCGCGCCCCGCAGGCCGCTCGGCCGCAGCCCCGGCAGCCGTCGGGCGGGGGCGGCGCAGCCGTCGGGGGCTGGCCCGGGAGCTGCGGGAGCCTGCGGCGGCCGGACTCGGGGCCGGGGCCAGGGCCGGGGGTGGAGGGCCGGGAGCAGGGGCAGGCGGGCGACGGGGATGCCCGGCGGCCGCCGCCCCAGTTCTCGATGGTGCGCGCTGCGCGGTCCAGGGAGCTGCCCACGCCGGCCGTGGTCACCATGTCGCGCGCGGCCTGCAGCATTTTGAGCACGCTGGCCTGGGCCGAGCTGGTCGTGAGGTCCGGGCTGGGCGGCCGCGCGGGGCTGGCCAGGCTCTGCACCCCGCTGAAGCAGCTGTAGATGCCCTGTTATTGGGGGGTTGGGGGGAGGGGGAAGGCAGACACGTGAGCTCGGAGCCCTGAGCGGCAGCGAACGCCCCAATCCATGGAGCGCTTTTTAGGTTTGTGTGGTTTGGGGGGCCACACGCAGGTGCTCAGGGCTTACTCCTGACTGTGCTCAGGGATCACTTCTGGTGGAACTTTGGGGACCAGATGGGGTCTTGGGGATCGAACCCAGGTGGCCACGTGCAAGGCAAGTGCCCTCCCCGCTGTACTATTTCTGTGGCCCCAGTCCAGCTTTCTAAGGGCCATGCCCTAGAGGTGCGCAGCTCGACTCCAAGTGGCACTGTCTGGCAGGGAGGCAGTGAGACAGTTCACTTCAAAACTTACCCAGCTTGTCCAACCTGGGTTCCATCCCCAGCCTCCCATAGGGTCCCCTGAGCACAGCCAGGAGTAATTCCTGAGTGCAGAGCCAGGAGGAACCCCTGAGCATAGTCAGGTGTAACCCAAAAAGCCAAAACAAACAAACACACCCCACTTGCAACTGGCCATAAGGGCTGGATGGACCCAGCTTCCGACCTGGCTGTGGGCTCTGCCACCCTCTGCAGAGGGTGCTGGCAGGCCCGGGAGCTCTGGGAACCTCAGAGCCCCCCACCTCCACAAGAGTTGAGGTCTCTCAGACTTATCCTTTTGCTTTTGGGGGGGGGGGTTCACTCCAGGCGATGCACTCAGGAATTACCCCTGGCGGTGCTCAGGAGACCATATGGGATGCTGGGAATCGATCCCGGGTTGGCCGCATGCAAGGCAAACGCCCTACCTGCTATGCTATTGCTCCAGCCCCTCGGACTTATCCTTTTGGACCCCTGCCTGGGGCACCTGCCAAACGGGCAGGGCAGGCACCCACCCTGCTGAAGGCTAGCAGAAAGTCCAGCCGGGATGCATCGGGCACAGAGTGACGCAGCTTCCAGTAGACCAGGTGCTCCCAGGCGAAGACCAGCAGCGCCAGCCCCATGGCCACAAGCAGCATGTAGAACACGCCCGCCATGTTGTCGATGTCCAGCTTGCTACTCATCACCTCATTCTTCTCGTTCTGGCAGATCCCCGACAGCCACAGTGTCTCCAGCTTCTGGGTCTCCCCTGGGGAGGGGGGCACATCTGGCTCAGGGGGGACCGTTTTCCCCAACTCACCCGGGCCTGCCAAGGGGGCACGTGGTGGGGGCCGTGGGGCGTTCAAGGGCCAACAGTGTGCGGGTGCCCCTATCCACGCCCATAGACACCTGTTGCTGGGGCACCTTCTATGCTCCCATAGGTTAGTTTTTCACTGGTCACATAGGCTAGTTTTTGTGACCTGGCAATGCTCAGGGGTCTCTTCTGGCTCTGCACTCTAAAATTATCCCTGGCAGTACTTAGGGAACCATGTGGGGTGCTGGGGATCAAGCCCTGGTTGGCCTCATGCAAGGCGAGCGCCCTCCACACTGTGCTATGGCTCTGGCTGCCACACCAGGCACACAGTAATTTCCTCCATACTGGGCATCGAGCTAGGGTGGCACCTGGGGACAAAAGCCCTAGGCATGCCACTCCCCGCTTCCCCACCCAGGACCCCAAACACATCCTTATCATTGTGGGGATTCTGGGTGCTGGGGGGAAGCAGAAGGGACTTTATTGAAAAGGGTGCTCCCCATCCAGGCAGACTCACACAGCAGCCACGGGCACCATGGCCAGCCCAAACCCCAGCTCTGGGCTTAGGCAGGGCCTGGCACTTTCCCAGCCTCTCAAGATAGAAAAAGGGGGGCTGGAGCGATAGCACAGCAGGTTGGGCATTTGCCTTGCACTCAGCCAACCCAGGTTCAATTCCCAGCATCCCATATGGTCCGCTGAGCACTACCAGGAGTAATTCCTGAGTGCATGAGCCAGGAGTGACCCCTGTGCATGGCCGGGTGTGACCCAAAAAGAAGGGAAAAAAAACAAGATAGAAAAAGGGACTGTGGAGGCAAAAATATGTTCAGAACCCATCCCAGGCCCCACTATGTGGCTTGACTGTGCTCTTGTCTTTCTACTCTTGGGGACTCCTCTCTGCAAAGTCGGGGCTCTCTCTAGGAGTTCCCAATACTCACCCCATATCTCAGCCTTGCACTCCAAGAGAACCCCCCAACCCACAGGTGTCAGAGAGCAAAGGTGGAGGGGCTGGCCTTCTCTCTGGCTCCAAACCCTCCACTGTCCCCGCACGGGTGCCACCCACCGTCCCCCAGGAACTGCAGGAGTGCCAGGTCGATGGGCCGCTTCCAGTGGGAGCCTTTCTGCATGGCGATGCCATAGCCTGTGGTGGCGAAGACCTTGCCCGAGCCGATGGTGACCAGCTTGCAGCCCTCGTCCTTGCCCGCCATGTAATTGAGAACAGCTGCATCGTAAATGAAGGCGTCCAGCTTCCTGCGGGCAGGCCAAGATCAGGCCGGGGAGCCTGCAGGCTGGGGGTCCCCAAACATGGGGAGGAGCCCGCTGAGCACCATCCAGGAGTGGAGACAGGCAGAGAATACCGGGACCCCACCTTCCCTGCTCCAGGAGCCGGGGGACACCCCACCTCTGCAGCCTCCAGGTGCTCACAAGTCCCAGCTAGACACCCCCGTGGGTCTGGGCATACCCCAGCACTACATCTCTGCACTCCCAGTGTCCAGACCTCATGGACTGAGGCCGACACGTGGCGGGGGGGCCCGGGTAGTGGGGGTCCACCAGCGAGGACGCACCCCATCTTGAGGCTGGTGAGCGCATCCTCCACCGAGCGCTGGTTGAACCTGACCATGTGCGTGTGCATGTCGCGGTAGTTGCTGCGGATGTTCCGCTCCGTGCTGCCATTGGGCACAGTGCCAAAGCGGAAGGGAGGGTACTGGTCCTGGGGCCGCTGGAACTGCGGGCAGAGAGGCTGCTGTTAGGGACCCTGCCACCCGCCGGAGTGGCAGAGGGCAGATGGCCTGGCCCACCATCCAAGCCATTTCTGGGGTACAAATGGGGAAACTGAGGCCAGGGCCAGAAGTGACGTGCCCACTTGGTCAGTGGACCTAAGTCATCTCTCCCCCTGGCTTCCCACTCCCACCTCCAGATTTTGGTTTTGGGACCATACCCGGCGGTACTCAAGGCTGGCTCCTGGCTCTGCACTCAGGGATCACTCCTGGCAGTGCTCAGGGAACCACATGGGATGCCAGGGATCAAATCTAGGTAGGCTACATGCAAGGGCAAGGCAAGCGTGCTATGTCCCTCTCCCCACTGTGCTATCTCCCCGGCCTGCTTCCTCCAGTTCTAATCTCCACTGAGTTCCACACATCCCCCGCCCAGCCCTCTGTCCCCACCTCCCCGGACCCCCGCCACCTTCTTGTCGCTGAGGCCAGACACCGTATCGATGTACTGCTCCTGGATCATGAAGGCGGCCAGGTTGGCCGTGTAGCTGGCGAGGAAGATGACGGCGAAGAAGGCCCACACCAGCACCATGATCTTGCTGGTGGTGCCGCGGGGGTTCTCGATGGGCACCGAGTTGTTGAAGACCAGTGCCCACAGCAGCCACACCGACTTGCCAATGGTGAAGGATGGGCCCCCGGGCTCTGCGGAACAGTGGACACTGGGGTCTTGCTTGCTGGGCACAGTGGGGCTGGGGTGTCACCTCCATGGCGCCTGTCACGGCTGTCCCTCCGCCCCCAGCATGCAGAACACCAGCCACGGGGCTCACTCTTGCCACTGGTGAGGTTCTGGTTGTAGCTGACAGGGCTGAAATACTCGAACATGAAGACCGTGATGGCCACCACGGTGAGACACATGACGAACATCATTACCCACACGGCCGGGCTGTAGGGCTCTGTGGGGGCAGATGGCAGCTCAGAGCACAGCAGGACACACATGACAACAAAGGAGGCCCACTTCAGGTCAGCTAAGCAATCCTGGGAGGCCAGGTTCACCAGCAACCTTTCTTTGGTTGGATATTTTGGGTTTGGGGGCATATCTGGCAGTGCTCAGTAGTCACTCCTGGCTCAGTGCTTGGGATCACTCCCAGCAGTGCTCAGAGGACCAAGTGGCACTAGGGATGGAGCCCAGGGCTCCCACATGCAAAGCCTGCGCTGGTCTATTTGACTGACTCTCACATTTTTAGTCTCCCCCTTGCCCCTATCTTGGGCTGCACCTATAGATCCTATACAGGGTCTGCACCCCAGGGTCTCCTGGTCTTCTGCTCACAGAGTCTGGAAGGTGCAGGACTAGGGTCACCCTCTTTGCCATGGCAGAGAGGCTCTTGGTACCACCCAGGATCTCCCTACTGGATGCTCGGCCATCCAGGACTAGGGCTGTGACCCACACCTGCTCTGGGGCCTTTACACAGTGGCTGTGGGGGAAATACTGCATTTCCCTTCCCCCCCCATCCAACCTGTCCAAAGCAACTCCAGGCCCTTCTCCCCAGGGTGCGCCTTCCTCCTTTCCCTGGCCTACCCTGTCAAGCATTCCCAAAGAAGCCACCTGCATCCTGGTCTCCTGTCCTTCTCAACAACACCCCCTTCTTTTTTTTTTTCTTTGGGACCACACGCACTGGTGTTCAGGGCTTACTCCTGGCTCTGCACTCAGGGGTCACTCTTGGCAAGGCTCAGGGGATCCTGTACAGTGCTGGGGATTGAACCCAGGCTGGCCACATGCAAGGCAAGCGCCCTACCCACTGAACTATCTCTTTGGCCACTTGTAGCACACCTCTCCTTAGGAAACCCTAACCTGGGGCCATGGTGATAGTATAGCAGGGAGGGCTCTTGCCTTGCATGTAGGCTGACCGAGGTTTGATTCCCGGTCCCCTGTGAACCGCCAAAAGTGATTCCTGAGTGCAGAGCCAGGAGAAACTCCTGAGCACCGCTGGGTGTGACCTAAAAGAAAAAAAGAAAAAAAAAGGAATCCCTATTCTGTGTATCTTTCTTTTTTGAACATTTTTTTTGGCTTTCTCCCCCTCTTTTTGCCAAAGCTAGGAGACTGTAACAAAGCATCCCCAGCACAGTGCCCTGGAACATAATATGTTAAGCAGTAAGTGCCCAAAAATAGCATTTTTTTAAAATTTGGGAGCCACACCAGTCAGTGTTCAGGGCTCAGTCCTGACTCTATGCTCCATGATCACTCCTGTAGGGCTCTGTGCAGTGCTGAGGTTCAACCCTGGGTCAGCCATGTGCCAGGCCAGTGCCCTGCCCGCTGTACTATCTTTCCTGGCACCCACCTTTCCCCAGCGGCCTCTGTTTCCCCAATATCACACCAGGCTCAGAAAGGACCACCCCACTGTTTGCCCTCCAACCACTGCACCTGCCCTGCACCAGCCTCCCCAGCCTGGAGCTGTGTGCAGGCCTCTGGGGGCTCCCCCAGCTCCACACCCGACCCGGGCCTGCTTTTTAGCGCTGACGCACCCAGGAAGGCCGAGGGGGAGACAGTGCCGTTGCTGCGTGCCACCATCACGCTGATACCCGTCTCCACGAAGGGCACAGAGAAGTCGACGACCTCGGAGCGCTCCTCGTTGATGGTGAGCGAGCCAATGGCCATGTCCGCACGCTTGTAGTACACCTGGGGTGGGGATCCGCATGGGAGGAGGGCCTCCCCAGCGCTCTCCTCGAGCCGCACCCCGTCCCAGCCTCCGATAGGGGCCCTACGGGGCGTGACTGGTGGGAGCCCAGTGTCCACTGCCGGTGGGCAGCTGGGCCTGCATCGCACTCCCCGCAACCCCAGTCGTGGAGCCCCAGCACTGGAGGCGCGTGGGGAAACCGGGCGGGCGGTGGCCCTGGGGGCCGCCTACCTCCCCGATCATGCCGTTCCACACGCCTCGAACCCGCTTGCCGTGCTTGCCATTGGTCACCAAGTAAAGGTCGTAGGAGAACTTGACCACCTTGGCCAGTTTCTTAAGGATGTCGATACAGAAGCCTTTGCAACAGAGCTTGGTGTAGGGGGCAGCGTCCCCGCTGAAGCCGCCAAGAGGGGGAGGAGGAGTGTCACGACCGCGCCCCGCCCACCGTGTCCACGCGCTCCACCCCGCCCAGCAATGCCCCTTTCCCATCCGGTTCTGTCTACAGCGGCCCCGCCCCCTCCCATCGTGGCCCCGCCCCTTCACCGCCTCGCCTCGTGGCCCCGCCCCACCAGGCCCCGCCCCGCCCACCTGAAGGTCTGGTTGGTCTGCCGGCGGCAGGGCACCGTGTTGGGCACGCAGCCGCCCGTGCCGGGATCGGGGCTCTCCACGATGACAAAGGGCCGCTCCTCCAGCGTGGCCACTGTCAGGTGACGGCTGTCCACCACGGGTTGCAGCGAGGCGCTGTAGCGAGGCCACACCGGGTACTTCATGTGCAGGATGCCGTGATCCCAGCGCCCCACCTGCAGAGGGCGACCGGCCTCAGCCCCCGGCCTCAGCCCCCTACCCACACCCGCTGGATAGGGCCTGCCAGGCGCCCGGGCTCTTTCCAGGGGCACTGGGGGAGGGGAACATTTGGAGAACAGGCTGGGCATGAGCCAGGAGGGCGGGCTCCGTGCCGCCTCCCTGGGCGCCGGGCCCTGCTCATTCCAATCCTCACAGCTGTTGGCCTGAGTCATCCCACTGAAGCCCAGACGGGAGCCTGCCACCCCCCTGCAGTTCTCCAGCCTCGTGCCAAGTCAGCCCAGAACATGGGGCCCTTCATGATTCCTCCCTCCCTGGGGCTGGAGTGATAGTACAGAGGGGAGGGCGCTTGCCTTGTACACAAGCAACCCAAGTTGCATCCCTTAGTGTTCCCTGGAATTGCCAGGAGTGATTCCTGAATGCAGAGCTCAGGGGAGCCCCTGAGCACTGCTGGGTGTGACCCAAAAATTGAAATAACCCTAAAGTGTTGTTTTAAACTGCCCCTGAGGGGCAGGAACAATAGCATGGGGGAGGCGCTTGCCTGGCATGTGGCCCCACCCCAGTCCAATCCTAGGCATCTGGTCTTTAAACACCACTGAGCAGCAGCCCCGAGCACAGAACTGGGAGTAACCCTCACAAGCACCGCTGGTGTGACCCCAAAAGTAACCCAAGAATGTTCCAGGAGGGCTGGAGACATAGCTCATGCACCTCATGGACCCTTGAACAACTCTGGGTGTGACCCTGGAGGTCCCTAGGCCCATGGACCTGAGCACTGAACAGTGAGCCCTGACTACTCGGTGAGGCCCAAATGACTTGGTGTTGCATCTTGGGATGATGGGTGTGGCTTAATCAATTTATGTTTTGGTGTTTTTTGGTTTGCTTTTGAGACAAACCTAGGGCCTGTACTCTGGAATTATTCCTGGCAGGTTTAGGGGGACCACATGGGGTGCTGGGGATCAAACCCAGGTCAGCGACGAGCCCTACCTGCTCTATTATCTCTCCGCTAGGGTTTACTCAATTTCTTTATTTATTTAGCTTTTTGGGTCACACCCGGCGATGCACAGGGGTTACTCCTGGCTCTGTGCTCAGGAATTACTCCTGGCGGTGCCCAGGGGACCATATGGAATGCTGGGAATCGAACCCGGGTCGGCCACGTGCAAGGCAAACCTCCTACCCACTGTGCTTTCACTCCCCGGTTTAAAGGTAAAAAGGTAAAGGCCCTCCCGTTGTTCATCGATTTGCTCGAGCGGGCCCAGTAACGTCTCCATTGGAGACTTTGTTGTTACTGTGTCTGGCATATCCAATACATCACGGAGAGCTTGCCAGGCTCTGCAGTGCGGGCGAGATACTCTCGGTAGCTTCCCGGGCTCTCGGAGAGGGGCGGAGGAATCGAACTCGGGTCAGCCATGTTGGCTGCGTGCAAGGCAAACGCCCTACCGCTGTGCTATCGCTCTAGCCCCTGTGCTATCGCTCTAGCCCAGTTTAAATGTCCCAAACCCTCCCAGCCGCCCCCGGCAGTCCCAGGCTACTTTGATCTCCTCCTGACGGGCTTCTCCTCGGCCACCACAGCCCAGCCCCAATCCCCAATGTCGGTGAAACCTTCTGCAGTTTCTTCCTTTGAGGACAGGCCTGACTCTGCTCTCCCCTCCACTCCCACCAGTGCCCCCAAGTTCTGCTTGTACCCCAGTGGCCAGCACCACCGGGGTCCCTCATGCAGGGCCAGGGCAGAAGGGGCCTTAGTCATGGGGGGCAGCCTTAAGCAGAGGCGCCTTGTCCAACCTGGGGTGCCCAGCGGGCCGACCTCAGAGGGGCTGGAGAGGGGACAAAGGGGACTCTGCTCTCTGGGGGCACAGAAGGGGCCAGGGACAAGAGGGAAACCCGAGGGCCCCCGGGCTCACCCCCTTCTCACCATCTCCCAGAGGCGGTGCCGGTTGAGAGCGATGACCACCATGGTGGGCTGGAGCAGGTGCCCCCCGGGGCTGAAGGAGAAGTCCCGGCCCTCCCACGAGACGTTCAGCAGGTGCCTGTGGGGGTGCGGGGCTGAAGTCAGCACCGGGCCCCCCTCCCCTGATTTCTGCCTCATCCCCCAGTTCACCAGGCCCATGGCGCGGCTAACTGCTGAGTGCCCCTAACTGCCTCCCATACTCATGCACACCCCCTTTCTCCAGACGAGGAAAGGAAGGCCCAGAGAGGTACGGTAACGTGTCCCAGGACGCACAGCTCGTGGGAGGTGTGGCGTGAGTCCCAGCTCCCGCCCCCTACACCCCCTCTGCCCCGGAGAAGCGTTCACCGTTCACCTGTAGAAGGCCTCCCGGGCAGGGCTGACTGGTCCGGGGTGGCCGCGGCAGTCCTCGGCCGGGGTGGGGAGGACGCCGTGCTGGCGCCGGTAGCCGTGGGCGCCCAGGGCCAGGATGGCCACGCCGTCGCGGACCTTCTGGCGCAGGCTGAGGCGCCAGCTCTCCGTGACCACGCTGATGAGCCCCACAGGGAAGGTGGCCGGGGGCGCGTCGGTGCTGCCCAGCGCCAGGTTGGGCACCAGCCACACGTGCCCGGGCCCCACCAGGCCGGCGCGCGCCGCCTCGTCGAAGAGCACCTGCGCCTCGTCGCGCGAGCAGTAAGCCAGCAGCACGGGCGCGTCGATGGAGCGCAGCAGCCGCTGGGTCTGCGCGCGCGGCCCGCCGGGGCCCAGCTCCAGCGTGAGCACGTCCAGCAGCCGCCAGCCTGGGGCGCCGGCGTCGGCCGCGGCGCGCACGCCCTCCAGGAAGAGCGCGTGGCCGGGGTGCAGGCTGGTGATGACGGCGAACGCGCCCCAGTCGTACTCCTCCAGCACCTTGAACAGCACCTGCAGCTGCTGCGCCACCGACGCGCCCAGCTGCAGGAAGGCGGAGCCCGGCTCCTGCGGGGGGCGGAGCCTGAGATGGGGCGTGGCCGGCCGAGTCCCTCCCCCAGGCCCGCCCCGCTCACGGCACCCCGCGGGGCGATTTCCTCCCCCGCCCCCCGCACACCCGAGGCCCCGCGGGACCGCAGAGCCCTCTAGGACCCGCAGGTATTCCTAAGGGGTGGCACTGTCTAGTGGGTGCCCGGGGATTTGTGTTCGGTGGGGCTCACCCCGTTGACTCCCTGGGGTGCTGGGGAATGGGGTGGGGGTGGGGTCCTTGCGGTTGCTCGAGGGATGAGCTGGAGTCCCGCCGGCATGGTTATGCTTGTTGAGAGAAGCTTTTCGGTGATCTTGTTGGTTTAGAGCAGCAGCCCAGAGCCAGCCACCCCTCGGACAACCAACCGCAGGCAGCATTACTGCTTTTACTAAAGATCTGAGGAGCTTAGGGGGCGCCCAGAGGGACTGGCACCACTACTCTGGGTGCAGCCTGGCAGTGAGGGGATCCCTCTTATGGTTCCCCCTGCGCCCCTACCTCCACCCCCCCCCCCAGCCCGGCCCTTCTCTCCCTCAGCATTTCCCCCCACTGCACCTGCTCCATCTTTTCAACAACAAAACAGAAAAAATGCCGGCCAGCCACCAAGTTCCTTCACAAAAAATTGCAAGATGGCAGGACTGGAGAGATAGTACAAGGGTAGGATGCTCACCCTTCCACGAGGCCAGCCAACCCAGGTTCGATCCCTGGCATCCCATAGGGTCCCTCAAGCACCACTGGGAGGAATTCCTCAGTGCAGTCAGGAGTTACCCCTGAGCACCACTGGGTGTGACCCAAAAGCCAAAACATAAAAAATAAAATAAATGTTTAAAATGGCAAGATGGGAAAGAGAAGCAGGGCGGAGGGAGGCCCCGGGGACGGGGACTCAAAGTCAGACCAATGCCATGAGGGCACCTAGTCTGGCTCCTGGTTCAAGTCACTAAGTTCAAAAAGTAGCATTGATGGGGGTGGAGTGATAGTACAGCAGGGAGGGTGTTTGCCTTGCACCTGTCTGACCTGGGTTTGATCCTTGGCATCCCATGTGGTCCCCAAGCACTGTCAGGAGTAATTCCTGAGTGCAGAGCCAGGAGTCACCCCGAGCATTGCCCGGTATGATCCAAAAAGACAAAAAAAAATTAACATTGATGATACTTTGAAGAATCTGATCAGTTTGGATACTTGGTGACATTAAGGGATTTTACTCTTCACTATATGGGATGATGGTGATTGATGAGGATGATGGTGTGTGTGTGTGTGAGAGAGAGCCCTGTCGGCTAGCGATAGGCACTGAATTATTTGTGGATGGCATAGTACAGGATCTGGGCTTTGATTACATTTAATATAAAAGAGGGGGAAGGGGAGAGCAGAGATGGGACAGTCTGGAGCGGTGGGGAGACCTGTGCATTTGTAATCATCTGCTTTGGGATGAGTCTCCTGACCCCATGCCTGGCTGTCCTCACCGGGGCCCCTTGGAGGGGGGTGGGTTGAGTTTCCCTCCCAGCCCCGAGTAGAGCCCCAGCAACTGAAGACCTCCAGAACCAGCCACAGCCATGCTGAGACCACTCTCCACATGTCCGGACAAGCCTCATGCATGAAGGAACCAGGAAGGGAACCCAGGCATGCAGGTTCTGGGGCTGAGATCTCTAAGCTCAGATCGGGACTGGGCTTTCTCCACCCAGATCCCCCATCTTCCGGTAGGTAGGCGTTACACCCACCAGCTGCTGCTGGCGCCAGGTGGTCCCATCAATGGCCAAGACCCAGAGACTATAAAACTGAGCTCCCGAAAGCGCCTGGCCGCATTTGCGGCTGCGCGACATCTTACTATCTCATTTTCACTTTGGAGAACCCGGCAGGCTACCAAAAGTATCCTGCCTGCACGGCAGAGTGGCAAACTTCCCGTGTTGTACTCAATATGCCAAATACCAGTAATAATGATAGGTCTCATTCTCCTAGACCTGAAAGAGCATTGAATATGGTTCTTTTAAAATCTCAGGGCTAGGGGCCGGAGTGATAGCACAGTGAGTAGAGTGTTTGCCTTGCACGCGGCAGACCCGGGTTCGATTCCCAGCATCCCATATGGTCCCCTGAGCACCGCCAGGAGTAATTCCTGAATGCAGAGCCAGGAGTAACCCCTGAGCATCGCCGGGTGAGACCTAAAATGCAAAAAATAATAATAATAATAAAATAAATAAATAAAATCTCAGGGCTAGGAAGAAGGAGACGTTACTGGTGCCTGCTTGAGGCAATCGACGAACAACAGGATGATCGTGATCGTGCTTTGGCATAAAAGGCTCTATAAGAAACATGAGCAGGGGAGCTGGACGATAGCATAGAGAGTAGGGCATTTGCCTTGCACACAGCTGACCCGGGTTCGATTCCCAGCATCCCATATGGTCCCCCAAGCACTGCCAGGAGTGATTCCTGAGTGCAGAGCCACAGAGCCAAGAGTAACCCCTGTGCATCACTGGGTGTGACCCAAAATGAAAAAAATAAATAAAAGAAGAAAGAAAGATAGGGGGAAAAAAAGAAAAGAAACATGAGCAAGGCTGGAGAGTGGCCCATCAGGCCAAGCCATGCGGGAGTCCCAGGCCCCGTCCCCAGTACCAGATGGTCCCCGGAGCAGGGCCAGGAAGGTCCTCCAGGCAGGGAACTGGGAGTATCCCCTGGTCTTGCCAGGTCCCCAAACCAGTAGATTAAAGCAAACCTGACCACAAAGGATGGATGAATCCAAACAGGTCACTCTTTACGCTGCACTCACTCCCCATTGAGGGTGAGACGTGAACAGCCCCCTTCGGCTGGGACCCCTCTCCCAGGCTTCTCTATGCTCCTGACCTACCCAGTCCCAGTGGGAAAAGCATCAGAAAGTTGGACTTGGAGACCAGGGCGACCACAGGCTCATGGCCTTCCCCCCACCACCCAGATTGATCCTGGCCCCCTGCAGGCCCGTCCCCCTTTCGAGGTGGCTTCCGGCCCCGGGCAGAGAGGCCCCGGCCTGGACAGGTACCTTCGGGGTGAGGACCACCGCAGAACCACCGCTGATGCTGAGGATGGGCACGTGGGTCTGGGAAGAGACAAAGTCAAGGATCTGGGCCACGGCCTCCGTGTCCACGTTGTCCTCGAACACGATGCCGTGGACGCGAGTGGCCCCCAGGAGCCCGCAGATCTGCGTCAGGAGGCTGCTGGGGTTGGTGTGGTTCACCCCCACGGTGAGTGGCTGGATCCCCACGGGCAAGTCCAGGAAGTTCTGCGGGGTGAGGCGAGTGCGGCCCGAGGCCTGTGCAGACCCTGAGCTGCCGAACACCACGGCTACTGTCACAGACGGCTGGCCTGGCCCTGGACCTGGCCCCGGCCCCGCCCAGGCCCCCAGCAGGGAGGTGAGCAGCAGGGCCGGTCCCAGGGCACTGCCCATGTCCACTGTGGGGTCCTGCGGGGAGGCTGGCACGGGCATGGGAAGGGGAGAGGCAGGGGGCACAGGCGAACGGGCACCCTGGAGCAGATGGCTGGGTCAGAGACACACCTAGAAGATGCAAGAGGGACACAGACAGACAGACAGACAGACAGAGACAGGTCAGCAAGCACCTGGGGCAGCCGAGAGCTGGGGGCTGGGAGCACAGGAGTTGGGATACAGGCTCAGTGACGCCCCCCCCTTCTTCTGGCACCCAGCTCACTGGCCTAGGCAGGTCAGACCCTGGAAAAGACCCAGGAAGCTGCACAGCAGAGGCTGCCCTAGGTTCCAAGTGCATGGGTGTGAGTTGGGCAGACCAAAGTTTAAGTCCCACACTTGCAAGCTGAGTGAGGAAGTGTCTCAACCTCTCTGGGCTGTTTTTAAGTACTTTATTTTTTGGTTTACTTTTGTGCTCAGAGGTCACTTCTGGCAGAACTTGGGGGACCCCACGCCATGCCATGTACGAGGCCAGGGCTATCTCTCTGGCATTTCCAAATCCTCTTGCCTGCAGTAATCAGAGCTGCCTCTCACCACACAGGGGTGCACAGAGGCATGCACAAGTCTCTCTGTCCCACATGAATCTTGGTGCTCCTTGTGGCCCTGCTCACAGCACCCCTCAGCCTGGGTCCTGCCATCCCTACCCCCCACATCCCACTTCAAGTAGCAGCTGCTCTCCTGCCTGATTCTGTGGGACCCTGGGTCACCCGCAAGCATGCAGCGTCTTGCCCATACTGCTCCCAAAATGCTTGGACCACAGGTCACGGGCCCCTGTGATCCCAGGACCTGCTATGCAGCCCTGGACACGCCGCTGCTTTGGAGGGGGACTCAGAGCCAAACAGGTGAGGGGGTCGTCAGCCCCTGCATGTTGGATTGCCCCAGGGTTCTGCCATCTTCACCCCAAACAAGACTCTCTTTAAAATTTGTTGGGGGGGGGCTGGAGCGATAGCACAGTGGGTATTGATCCGGGTTCGATTCCCAGCATCCCTTATGGTCCCCCGAGCACCACCAGGAATAATTCCTGAGTGCAGAACCAGGAGTAATCCCTGTGCATCGCCAGGTGTGACCCAAAAAAGAAAAAATAAAATAAAAATAAAATTTGTTTGGGGGGCACTAAACCTGGTGGTGCTCAAGGTTTTCCTTGGCTCTGCACTCCGGGATCACTTCTGGGAGCATTCAAGAGACCATACGGGCTGCTGGGGATTGAACCTGGCTAGGTTGGCTGCATGCAAGGCAAGCGCCCTCCCCTCTGTGCTATTGCTCCATCCTTTTCTGATTTTTGGCTCCCTGGCTGTGCTCAAGGATCTCTCCTGGCAGTGCTTAGGGGCCATCTGGATGCTGGGCATAGACCCGGGTTGGCTGTGTGCAAAGCAAGCTCTTTACAAGCTCTTTACTGCTCCAGCCCACAAAGTCAGATTTGTTTTGGGGAGGTTGGGGTTACACCTGGCAGCGCTCAGGGGTCACTCCTGGTAGTGCTTGGGGGACAGTGTAGTGCTGGGGATAGAGCCAGGGTTAGCCACCTGCAAGACGAGAACCTTCACCCATGTACTGTCTCTTCCAAATTTCTTGGGGCTGGAGTGATAGTGCAGTGAGTGGGGCACTTGCCTTGCACACAACCAACCCGGGTTCCATCCCTGGCATCCCATATGGTCCCCCAAGCACCACCAGGAGTGATTCCTGAGTGCAGAACCAGGAGTAAATCCTGAGCATCGCCAGGTATGACCCAAAAGCAAAATCAAACAGCAGCAACCAAAGAAGTCTATTTCTTGCTGGTCTCTATATACAGGAAAGCCAGGGCACAGGGAAGAGCAAAGGGCTGGCAGGGAACATTCAAGAAACTCTCCAGGTTACTAAGGGATACCACAGCACAGAGGTTCATGTGTGTGCGCACGCATGTGTGAGTGTATACACATGTGTGTCCATGCATTGTGTGTGCGTGCACTAGTGTGCACGTGTGAAAGCACACACATGTGCACATGTATGCAAACGTGCGCATGTGTGTGTGCATGCATGTGTGCATGTGCACACATTTGTGTATGCTTGTGTGTGCATGTTTGTGCATGCATACATACGCATGTGTGAGTGTCTGCTCATGTGTGTGCACTTGTGCATATGTGCATGTGTGTGTGTGCATGTGTGTGTATGCATGTGTGCATGTGCATGCATTTCTGTGCACTTGTGCATGTGTGTGCTTGTGCGTATATGTGTGTGTGCATGTGCATGTGTGAGTGTGTGTGCGTGCGCGTGCTGAGCACCTCTGGATGCAGGTTGCAGTGAGCTCTGGGAGGGTTACCCCTGGAGGAGCCGGGCCGCCCTCCAGAGCACGAGTGAGCACAGAGCAGAGGTGCAGACTCAGCCCCAGCGCCTACGAAACCGATTTTCTGCTGCTCCTTCTGAATGGATGTCCCCAACCACCCACGGTCCCCAGGCCCCTCCAATTCTGCAGTTTCTGCAACCAATCTCTTAGCTGGGGTCTGCAGCTCTAAGGGCGCTCCTGCTCCCTTGGCTTGAACCCCCACGTTGCCAAATGATGAACCCCATCAAGCCCCTTTCCAGGGAGGCATGGACACCGGGAGCCGCTCTGCTGCCAGCATCCAGCCTAGCCCCCACCCGCTGTGCCGCCGAGCCTCGTCCCCATTCGTCCCCATTCGAGCGCTCTTTGTCCCGGGAGAGAGGGACTTGAGAGCATCAAAGCCCAGATGCTCACGTGCCATGGAGCGTAGCCTGACTGCTCAAGGCCGAGACGGCAGTACTGGGCAGCGGACGGGAAGCTGCCTTTATCTGCTGCCCTTGACATCCCCACTCACGTCCTGGTGATTTAGGATTTGGGCCCCTCACCTCACTGCACATACATCTGGGTTGGACTTCTAAGCCAGACTGGGCCACACCTGCTACTAAAGAATTTTCTTTTTTGTTGTTTGTTTGTTTTTGTTTTGGGGCCATACCCAGCAATACTCAGGGGTTACTCCTGGGCCCTGCACTGAGGTATTACTCCTGGCGGGCTCGGGGAACTCTATGGGATGCTGGGGATCAAACCTGAGTTGGCAGCATGCAAGGCAAGTGCCCTACCAGTTGTAATATCACTCCAGCCTCAGGAATCTTCAATTTCCTAGCAAAGAGGGACGGAGAGAGAGTACAGAGGGGAGGGTCCTTGCCCTGCCTGCAGCTAAGCAGGGTTTGGTCTCTGGCAACCCATATAGCCCCCCGAGCACTGCCAGGATTGAATCTTGAGTACTGAGCCAGGAGTAACCCCTGAGCATCGCTGGGTGTATCCCCCAAACCCAAACACACACACACACACACAATAATTATCTAGCCAAGGGGACTCAAGACTTGCTCCTCCCCCTGCAATGCCTTCCTTCCCTCTCCTCAAAAGTGCCCCCTACACCCCTCCCTGACTGGCCCCCCAGTCTAAGCCCTAGATCTCTGCCCCCCAAAACAGCTGCCACTGGTCACGGGAACAGTCAAGCACTTGGGCTCAGCTCCCCAGCCAGTGTAAAGTGTGTGCAGAACATCCAAGAGCCGGACGGAGGAAACCTGCAGAATGTCTCATTCCTATTTTTACATCGATTACCTGTTGGAACTGACCTAATTCAGAGACATCAGGTAATGGGGCAGGACAGGGGGGTGGGGAGGAGGGAGGACACTTGCCTCATATACGCCTGACCTGGGTTTGATCCTCAGCATCCCATAGGGTCTCCCGAGCACTGCCAGGAATGATTGCTGAGTGCAGAGCCAGGAGGAACCCCTGAGCATTTCTGGGTGTGGCCCCCAAGCAAACAAAAACCCCCAACCAAACGAAGTCACAGGGTGAAACAGAAGTGCCCTAAAATCTATTTTACTTCATCCTGTTTCTTAAAAATGTTTTCTTTGGGGGGCAGCCACACCTGGTGGGGCTTGGGGACCACATGGTTCCGGGAAAGAACCTGGGGCTCCTGCACAGGAAGCCGGTGGCCTGGGCCTCCACACTCACCCCACCCTTCTTTTCAAGGACCCTCTTGCGATGCCAGGGGCTACTCTGGATATACAGTCCAGGGAGGAAGCTGAGGCCCCGCTAGAAAGTCACTGACCCTCCAGTACCAATGGGCGAAACGTCTCAGACTTCTGAGGCTGCTCTCCAGGCCAAGGAAACGTGCCCCTACCTCCTCCCCCTCCCGCCCCACCCCTGCCTGCTCCCCGGTCTGAAATGTTCCTCTAGTTCCTCTAGTCTAGTGCTGTTCCCAGTGCCCCACGCCTGCCGCCTTGGTCCCCTGCGGAACCCCACATTCCTGCCGGGCTGGTGATCAGCACTGTTTGTTATCACCAGGCCCTCTACCCTGTGGTCCTCCGGGTCTGGACCACCCTCTTTCCAAAATCTCCGTCTTGTATCGGAGAGAAATTTCCAGAAATTTCAGGCCAGCTGATATCCCTTCTGATAGGGTCCCTCTCTGGATGGCTGGTCGGGGCCCAGGGGAACTTACTCCGGGCTCCTTGGCAGGGATCACCCCTGGCATTGGGATGCTGGGATTGAACCCTGTCAGCGGCATGCAAGGCAAGCCTCCTGCCTGTGGTCCTATGACTCTGGTGTCTGCCACGAGATGGGCTCCAGGACCCCAAAAAGGTTCAGAGGGAAGGTGACAGCGGCCAGTGGTCTGGAACATTCTGCATCACCTCCATGGGCCTGAGCATGTCTACGTGTTCAATGGCTCTACCAGGCACTTGAGTACCAGCATGGCATCCCAGACACTGCTGGCCCTCAGCCTGGAGACCGGATTCCTGGCGTTTCCCCATGGGGAGCAGAGGGACCTGGAATCCACTGTTCTGGGATCAGGGATCCACCTGCTCTGGGATCCGGGGTCCACTGCTTTCCCTAGGGCATCCTGCCTGGGGCAACTACCCCACCAGGGTGTCATGTGGCAAGACTGCCCCTCTACCTAGTTCCCAGGGCTGCGCTCCCCGGGTTCTCCCTCCTCCAGGATTCCACCACCCCTGCTGCCCCCCACTCCCCTTCCTCCAGGGGCACTCGCCCCCTCCCCTCTGTAGGA